TGTGTGTGTGTGTGTGTGTGTCTGTATGTGTGTGTGTGTGTGTGTCTGTCTCTCTCTGTCTCTGTCTCTCTTTCTCTATCTCTCTCCTGGTTTCTCACTGTCTTCCCAAGAAGAAGAAGAAGAAGCGTAAAAGAAATAGACAAACGAAGAAAAGAATAAAGAATACAAAAACGCCATCGGAAAGCGCACTGCATGGCCTGCTATCACCAGCCCTGCCCCCCTTTTGTATTTTGCACTCCCTGTCTCTCTCTTTCTCTCTCTTTCTCTCTCTTTCTCTCTCTTGATCTTTCTCCACAAAGAAGAAAAAGACAAACAAATGTTCCGCCATGATCGTGTGCCATGTGTTGAGTTGACATACATCAGCAATCCATCCCCTCTCTTTTTGTTTTTCTTTCCTCTGTTTCTTTCTCTCTCGGTCGTCTTCTTTACCTTTCTCTCAAAGATGAACAGCAAGAGAAATTCTATCCTCTGTGTCTTTCTTTCTGGATCTTCTTCTTTATCTTTCTCTCAAAGATGAACAACAAGAGAAAATGGAAAAACAAACGAAGAGGGGGACACGATAAAACTAACATATGATAGCACATCATGTGGCCCGCTGTTACTTGCCCAACCCCCACTCCGTCCTCTCTCGTCTCATATTTATTCCTCGTTTTCTTGTTGTTCTTGGAGAGAGAGAGAAGGAGATGGACTCTGATGGAGCAGGGGGGGACAGAAATAGAGAAAGAGAAGGGGGACAGGGGCGAGGGGCATTGGTGTGCGGCACTGTGCGCACTAAAACGCACCACGTGGGGCATTCTGACGTGGCACATGACCTCTTTGCTTTTCTTCTTCTTCCTTTATTCTTTGTTTTCTTCTTGTTCTTCTTGTTCAAGCAAGCGAGAGAAGGTATCAGAGAGAGAAAGAGAGGGTGTGAGAGACAGAAGGGGAGGGTGTGTGTGTGTGAGAAAGAAAGAGGGGGGGAATGTAGGGGTTGGATGGGGTTTGTGTGCAAAAGGCGTCACTCACCCCTTTTTGCTTTCTTCTTTTAGCCTCCGTGAGAGAGAAAGAGAGAGAGAGAGAGAGAGAGAGAGAGAGAGAGAGAGAGAGAGAGAGAGAGAGAGAGAGAGAGAGAGAGAGAGAGAGAGAGAGAGTGAAAGTCAGCCCACGCAGATTTCTGGCAACAACCACCGGGCCCTTGCGGCCTCTAGGCCTAACCACCTGTGGATTCCCTGCAATGCAAAGCACTAACAGGAGGGCAATTTTCCGACCAACTGGGAGACTGGTGGTTTAAGTTCCAATTGGGCTTTGACAGAGCGTCAGTAGCAGGGAAGGGTAGTTGTTAATTTTGTGCATCAGACAATCATATGCGTCTATCTTCTGGATGCTACAACGATGAGAAAACTTGCATTCTAAGGTGGGTCCACCAGGATCTCAACACGACATGATGTTAGAATCCACACTTCAAATATGCCACTGGTTGGTAACTGGGGTATCAAAATCACAGAGTTTACATCCGATATGCCGATACCACCACCGATGGCGTCCCTGCACAGCGCCGTCTCGTCCCTTTCTATGGGCCCGAAGGTGCGCTTGAGAATGCTTATGCATGTTTCAAAATAATTCCATGTCAGCTACTGTCTTCCCCCGAACACAACAAACCCTCATTTTGACTGTGTCAGGCCGGAAACATACCTTGTATACGTTCATTTTCAGGGTGCGTTGTGTTCGGGGGTAGACGGTAGTTCTGGTTTACTACCCTCAGAATTGAATGTGGACTGAAAGCCCGCAGTTACCTGGCTGTTGTTTGGCTGGTTAATCAGCCAAATGAGAGGTGTTAGTCAGCCGAATGAGAGGCCTTTCTTTTTGTCAGCCAGATGTGAGAAAATTTCAAGTTGTGAGACCTTGTTCGCATTCCCAATGACAGAGGGGCACTTACTGGTATAGTTAAACATTAGGGAAAGAAAAACCTCATTGCTGGCAAACGAGGGATGTGCAGCACTAGTATCTGGTAGAAAGGCCTTCTACATGTGCTCTTGTAGTGGCACTTTTCCTGGATATACTCAGCCAAACCTATGGCTGAATTCAATAGAGAAGTCTTTGTGTGAATATGCCCTAAAGGTCCAGTTCATCCACAGCCTGAACTCCAATCACACACAGGCCGAAGACAGTTGGGGGACGCTTTAGGAGGCGAAGTACAAACACACGTTCTTACAGGGAATTGTGGGGATGTGCAGGGATGTACACAGCCGGCCACGTATCTGCCAGTGGTACAGACATGGCTCTTTTGCATACCAAGGGTCAGACCCTAACAAAAAAGGTGAATGAAGACACCTCCCTGGTAAGAATCTTCCCAGCCATTTTTATCCGCCGTGCCCTGCACAGGCGGCACCAGTGAAACGTGGCTCGGAAATACTGGTGGAGTCCAAGTCATTTCAGTGCAACATTGAGGTGCCTCCCGGGCAAAAGTGGCTCGGAAGTACTGGTGGTCTAAGTCATTTCAGTGCAACATTGTGGTGCCTCCCTCACATGGACCTTGAGACCTTGCCAAGCCATCTTCTTGTGTAGCCCGGCAGTAGTTCAGGACCCCCCAGCAGTTTTATGTTACCTGTCACCATCTAGAAGGGATCCTTCCGCTCAGATCGCCATTGGCCCACTGCAGTACATATTGCAGTTACGGAGCACTCCCACTACGACTTTCCGCGGTATACCTGACCGCAAACACACCCAGATTCAGTCAAAAACTTCTAGACGGGTATGCTCTCAATGTTGCTCCCGATGCATCGTCATCCCTTTCCATGCATGATCTTTCATTCTACCAGGGTCCCCCTGTAGTAACCAGGCTTGAGAAAGTTGGCTATGCAATTTGGATCGCCATGCTCCGATTGTCAGGGGCTTTGTTCCCGACACAATTGCCATGGGTGCTCCAGCATATGGTCTTTCAAGGTGGATGATGGTCATTGCCCTCTTGACATGCATAGCCTTGTCTGTTTTCTGTTGAACAAGAATGACCATAATCCAATGTTATCTCGGCAGCACACCCTGCCTGCGGTAAAATGATGCCGCTATGATTGGTCGATGTGCATGCTTAGCTGGAACGTATCCGGTGGTACTGAGTAATGTTAACCGACCGTAATCTGACGACGAAGTCCTATCTCGCAATGGATCTGGTTCTGGGATGGTCTCCATCAGCTTTGCTACCTTGTGTGGACATCTATGAAGATCGTGGTGACATTTCATGCAAGGATCACTGATGTCGACCTTGTCAACATCATACTGCAGCTCTGGAGAATGGAAGTATGTGGCAAGCATCCCAGCTTTTGTACTGTACAGATCAGTGGACAGTTGGACCTGGTTCACAGAGTGAGTTTTCCTTAATGTCTCTTCCTTGGTTAACAACTCCTTTAACTGCGCAGCACGGCGAGTGTAACTGAATTCGTCTCTCTGGGGAGCAGTGCTGGCCAGAAATCCAAGCTTGCGTTCCACATCCTTATAAGAGCGAATGTCGACATACTCTTCATCTTCAAAAAGTCTTTTGAAAGGGTCGAAAAATGCATCATTGCCTCGCCCCTTTTTGCCAATAGATATAATGAACTGCCTCCCTCTATGTCGAGGCTCACCTGACCTGTGCTCCCCACTATATGGATCGTCAATAGTTATGTATGAAGGAGTGCTAAATATCCCATCTTTAGTGGCCATCGTGTCCTGCCTAGCCTACGCAAACAAACAGGACCCCAAGCTCGTTTCTGATTTTATCAAGCTTCAGAGTGAACCTTGGGGAAGGGGAGGAAAAAGCGGGGTAGGGGAAGCCTTCAATGCTGCTGACTATTTCCTTGCAGTGCTGAAACAGTGTTTGCTAGGTAAGTGGCAGTAAAGTCGACTGTTCGTGTGAGCTCTCTCTCCCTCCCCTCCTCACCCCCTCCCTCTTTGACCTCACAGTTATCCCCAGCACTCTCTCTCTCTCTCTCTCTCTCTCTCTCTCTCTCTCTCTCTCTCTCTCTCTCTCTCTCTCTCTCTCTCTCTCTCTCTCTCTCTGGCTTTTCTCTACCAGAGAGGATGCTTGGCTTGATCAATGGATAATTGATATGGAGCTCTTGGTTGGTGATGCTCTATTCAGGTCTGTAGTATAAGCAGCCCTTTTCTGTGTAGGGCCTCCAGAGCAGGCAGGGATCCAAGGGGATTTACAGAACGGCGAGGAACCCCACAACGGCTTTCAAAACAGAGTCACTCACCCCACACCACCTTTAGAGAGGCCTGACTGTTCGGAAATAGAAAGCGCCTCACTTGGTCAAAACAGCAGGAGTGAACTTTCCTCGATCCTCTCTAGAGGACTGGAGTTGAGATGCTGGACTGTTGATGCTACTCAGTAAGTCATCCACCCTATGGGATGGCCTAGCCTGCCCAGCTCTTTTTCATTGACGATCTTGCTTTCTTTGTCTTTTCCTGCATCGCAGAGCACATGAATACAGAAAAGAAAGTGGTCAGCAGAATCGCCCAGCAGCTTCCCCGCTCCCATCCAGTTTGCTGTAGAGGCTTGGTTGCAGTCCCAAAGACTTCAGTGCAGAGGGTACTACTCACTTTACCTGAATAGAACGTACGGTCATTATGACTGTATTTGGCCCAATCTTGACGTCCAGAGGCAGCGAACATGACAGTACGTTCTATTCGTGTGAAGACAGTAGTATGAGTACGCCCAAAGTCACAATCACAAGAACAATTTCTCAACCCTGATGCGGTCGAATTCGGTCAAGAAAAGGCGCTACAATCTTCCCTCGAAACACGATGCACCCTCATAATCGATGTATACAACCTGTTTTTCCAGTCCTATACACTCGTGATGAGGGCCTGTTGTGTTTGGGGGAAGATGGGCAGTGTTTGCAGCCTGTGGGCTATATTTATACACCAAGGTGCATCTTTCACCATTGGTCCGACTGGCCGTTAGTAGGGCCGAAGGAGTCATGCAAAGGGTCCCAAATTACGGGAGGGCATGGAGGGGGCCACAGAGCAGTTGTTGGGATGAGGAGCCGTCGAAGTGCATCATGGGAAAACAAAGCGGTGCCATGGACTGAGGACCAGGTCCACACGACTTTTCATGTCATTTCACCTGCCGCAGTGCGGACTACACCTGCTAAGAGAGTGCACTGACTTTGTTGATGTTTTTGCCCAGAATAATTGAGAAAAAAAAAGGAAAAAAATCAGGCATATAGACCCACCACAGGGGGTCCGCCCGCCAGAATCACTGCAGGCAAAATGGCTCCCAAAGGAGGCACACATCAGAGTGTTGGGCATCATGCTGACAGCCCTCGGGAGACCGGCGTCAAACAAAGACTGGATCCTGAAACCAACTTTAGGAAAAATGTCACTGTGGAAGGACAGGCATGCCTCTCTTATTGGAAGGGCACTGGTTATCAACAATGTTGTCCTGGCCTCACTATAGTATAAATCTGCCATATGACCACTTACTAAAGAGCACTCAAACGACGGGTGACTGCACCTTTGTGGAGGGGAAACAGCGAATGTCGAAATGTAATCAGCAGGTGGTGTGAACCTCAATCATCCAACCCAAGGATAGAGGAGGTCTGGGAATAGTGGACCCCACACTCCAAGTCACCGCACTCACCGTACAGTGGATCAGATGGATGCTGCTCGAGCCCTGGACCCCCTGGTGAACATTGGGGCATGCAGGCCCCACTGAAGGTCAATCCCCTAACATGGCTCGAGGACCACTACTGCACCATCCCTCGCCGCACTTCAGGGGTAGACAGAGGCGCGGCCAGGAGAGACCTGGCAAGGGATGACTTTTGGAGACAAATATTGCGAGCCTGGCAGCAACTACCCCTGCCCAGCACGGCAACACCAGACAGGTGGGAGGAGGTAGTCGGACAGCTCCTGTTCGGTAATAGAAACATCACGAAGGAAGTGTGGGCGGCGGATGATGCAGTGGGCTCCGACGGCTAAAGGCGACAGCGACCACGGCTCGAGAAGGCATGAGGCAGCTTGAACGAGGTCAGTGGATGTGACCTGCGGCTTCAATGGCTGACGGCAGCAGAGACTGCGGCTCAACCAGGCAGGGATCAATGGCGATATGAACCATGGTTCGAAAGGACGGGAGATGAAGCAATGGACACAGTGCTGCCGGAGGCAACGGATGCATGGAGCACTCTCACGGACGCACGGGGCCGTGTCAGCAGGCACCCGTGGGGGTCCAGTGGTCAGACCTCGGTCAGACTACTCAGGGTTGACAGGACAGTTGGCGGACCACCCAAAGAAGGAATTGACCTTCAGGGGCACTGTAGGCGGGAAGGGTTGTGGTAGGAAGTCGGCAGTGCGGGTGTGCCGGTATCGTCACCAAACGAGGGAAATAGGATGAGTGCATGTCGGTGGAAGCCTCGACAGAAGGAGTGGACACAACAGGCGGGTGGCGGTACAGTCAGCAAGAAGACAGAACCCATACCTTGGTGAGTGAAGTATTATATTTTACTTAAGTCGGGGAGGGAGTGTCAGGAGGCAGGTGAGAAGCAGCCATGTGTGCGGGTGATTGTCATGTGTGGAGGGTGACTCGCCTGTGATGCGTGGTAGTCATGGTCACCCCTACCTAGGGAAAACCGAACAAGACACCAGTCGCTTGGGTAGGGGTTACCTCCAGAGGCGATAAGGCGCAGCGACCAAACAACTGCCACCTGCCGGAAGACAATGAAGGGCGATGGATGTGAGTTCTTCGACAGGTGCACCTGCAGCCCCTACAATTGCTGCCCCCCCTCCCTGCGACTAGAGAAACCGTCGCCGGGGGAAGGAAGGAACATCATCGAGAGAGCCTTGCGCAGCTATGAGACGTCATATGCGAGATCACACATGGTTATCATAGGTTTAAAGGAAGAGCGGCAGACTTGCCACCATTCGTGAAGCGGAAATGGATAGAGCGGTGGGAGATGGCGTGGCTTCAGGCCAGTCAGGCGCAAAGGAGGGTCTATGGGATTATCCGGATTGAAGGACATAATGTCCTACCATATGTAGCCCCGACTGCCCGGCTTAAGAAATGGCTCCTGGAACAACGATAAAAAGAGAGAATCAGGTTTGTGCAAGGAATATGAGTGTGAACGATATACAGAAAACCAAGTTGCAAAATCTTGTCCAAGTAGTCGTGTCCAAGCAGAGAGTACAAATGCACCGAGAAAACCATCCATATAGAGCAATACAATGAAGTAATGAGTCAATGTCCAAGCCCGTAGGTCACACCAACACAGAATCCAAAGTCGCTACTCTCTGTCTGGCGCCCAGTGCCCAGCCTACTCTACCCGACTATCCTACCTACAGCTGTGTTCACGCAACAGGCCCACTTCGACACTCGAAGACCAATGTACATGACTGTCAACCATAGCCGACCTCTCTTCATGCACCAGGTACGTATCTCGTCACCCTCAATCAGACCTTGATTACCCCACACTGCGCCTCCTTCCCTGAAGACCACCAGATCGCCCGCTGTACCCCCTGGCGCCCAGCAGCCCGGCTATGGCTGCCTGCGCCCCGCTGCCCTGCAACGCCCCACCTCACCACTATGTGCCCCGTCAGCGCCTTTGGCAGCAGCGCAGCATCAAGCGAGAGCGCAGCAGCACTTCCGCATTGCCTGCACTAGCCAGAATCCCTAGCCTAGACTGCCTCACTTCCTTTATCAAAGTGGCAGCCTCCTGGATGCTGCGTGTGGCCTGGCTGGAAGCTTCCCTGCGCCCAGGCCTGAGACTACAGTTGAGGGCCTGGGCCCCATTTACAGTTGGGCACGGCCTGAGTCTCCGGACTTGGGCTGTTTGCTGCATCTCCGCAGGGCTCCCGGGTAGGTGCGTCGACAGTACTGCTTTTGCATACGCCGACCGCCTGCTTCTCAATGTATCGGCCCTGCTTTGTGTGTATGTGCCCAGGCGCAACTGTCAAGGCCTGGGGCAACTGTACGACGCAGCTTAGTGAGGCTCGCGCGTCCATTCAACCAACTGGCGTGCTGCAAGAGCTTGAATACCCACATATGGAAAAGTCGAATTTTGGCCTCTGACAAATATTCAGGCCTGCCTTCACTTAGGGCGGGAACTCAGCTTGCATGGGAACTCAGCTTGCATGGGAACTCGGCTTGCATGGGGCCCAGAACATATGATGTCTGATAGGGCCCCTTGAGGGCTTGTTCCTCACATTTGCTGAGAAAGAGGGGGTCGTGACTTGGAACCTTGGTATTCACCAAGGGAACTCGGCCTCAGGAGACAACTGGAGAAGAGGAAGCGGCCATGGGTGCAAATCATGCATCCGCCAATACTTACGGAAGTTTGGATGCACCAGCCTTTGGTGACATAACCACGCGGCATGACCCACAACTAATGTCGGATGGTCGAACATCTACACGCTTCGACATCGCATACCCGATGGCCTTGGTACAGGGGGATGCCTTGTTTTGGGACATCGGAATCTATGGAAGGGTCGCATCCAGTGACACGTCATGGTGCGACAACTGCCATTGGCATGGCCATTTGGTGTCGTATGGCAGATGTCTGACGCCAGAAGAATCGAGCTCGAGAACGATCCAGCATTGGCCTAGAATGGCCAGGAGGAGACAGACCGATGGATTAGGTTGGAGGAAGAGCTGGATCCGGCAATTCTAGAAGGGGCGTTCCCGGGGCCACCTTTGCGGGAATGCCCTCCGCTGGCATGTGGCCAGTTGTATTTCCCCTGGCAAAGAGTTAACCCAGAGACACAACAGCAGCACAATTGAATGGCGCTGCAACATCAGGGGGCGGAAGCGAGGCCGCGGCAACAAGAAGCTACTAGCGCATCAACGGAGGTGCCAAGGTTTGCGCGAGCTAGGGCGCATAATCTGCGGCAGGAGCATGATATGCAATCAAGCCGACAGGGGGAGGGATGCACCCAGGCGTGAGGAGGTCAAGGCCAGCAGCAGGATCACACGAGCAATTCGACGCATCATCAGGGACAACAGTCGACCCACCCATCAAGCCAGCAAGGGGACTCCAAGACTCAAACGCCTGAGGATGTCCCTAACCTGGTTTTAGCCACTATTAAGAAGAACCCAGCGGGGGAGGACGGACTATTCCCCCGGTTCGGAATGCTGCGACAGCATATGGAAGCGGTGTCCAACTCAGGCATGATGAAGGGAAAGAGCCATGGTGCAGGAGAGGAGACAAGCGAGAGCCACTCGCATGAACAGGCCGGCCAGATGGGGAAGGCGAAGCAACAGATGACAAAGGGGAACAGGAGCGAGGGACCTTCATTTGTGGCGGTTGACCATCTATCAACGGAAAGGCCGCACTGGCGGACCAGGGTCGCCACCAGTCTCAGGAGCCATCATTACAAGAGCAGCCATCAACGTCGAATGTAGGGGACCAAACCTCATCTAAAGGACAAGCCCTCAGCATCAGATGCCCTGGGTAGACCACAGGACACACTGGAGGATGACGAGATTCCACCATCACCATCACCATCACTAAGCGCTAGTGACCGAAGGAGGAACTATCCCAATCAGGAGCACTGGACAGGGAGGGACGAGGAGCGGCAGGGAGACTAAAGGGGGAATGACCCCAGACCGCTCGATGGGAAGAGGAGGGAAGCTAGAAGGAATAGTGAGCCAGGCATTGTGAAAGCAGATGGCCGAGGTACGATTTCAGCATGCCAGTAAGCCGAGCAAGGTGGGTACAACACACCATTGAACGGGGAAGGAAGGAACGAGGGAGAGAGAAGGTGAGACTGTCCACATCTGGAGCATGGCACACGAAGGGAAGAGGAGTGGACCGGGAATGGGGTGAGGAACAATGGGCACGAAAGCACCAACTCAGAAACAAAGCACCAAAGCACTAAGCACGGAAGCACATCGAGCAGGTTGGAGTAGGCCCAGGAGTAGCGAGTAGGCGAAAGCAGGGTCGTAGGGGCGGGAGTAGGCGCGGGAGTAGGGGTGGAGTGGCCGTAGGCGCGTCGAGTACCGGCCGCCCACAAAAAACCTTCCACGAAAACGAACAAAAATGTTGTCGGCCGGGTCGTTTGTGGACTGAGCGGGCCGTTCGACCATGGGCGGGCTGTTTGAGGCCAACCGGTACCTTTTCCTGCGAACTGCCCCAGATTGCAAGCCGATCACCACCCGCGGACGGCCCAGATCGCAGGCCGGACAGAAAAGTTTCTCATCGGCCTGCGATCTGGGCCGTACGTGCTTGGTGATCGGCTTGCAACCTGGGCCTTGCGATATGACGTTAGTGGTTTCTATAGTATTGTAGATCTAGGTCTTAAGTAGAATGGGGAAAATTCATGGGGGAAATTGTAGGACAAGGGTTCATGGGGGAAATAGTACGACAAGGGGTATTGGCATTATTATACAAAAAAGGATACAAGTTAAACATCCGTAATTACATGCGGATCACTCTTCTCACAGTACTCTACAAGCTGTCCGCAAAGGCGCTCGCAAATCGTGTGTTGAAAGTCACTACTGATATCATCCATCCTACACAACCTGGCTTCATCGAAGGCACAAACATCCTGCTTATAAATGAATTGGTTAAACACTATTGAGAATTCAAACATAACGCAGACTTTATTTTCATAAACTTCGAAATAGCCTATGATCATGTAGATTGGTTCTTTTTGGAGAAATGTCTAGAGAAGTTCAACTTTGGTCCTTGCTTTCGGTGGTGGGTAGAGATTCTACATTCTAGTTCTACTACCAGGGTGATGATGATCAATGGAAACCTTTCCCCACCTCTCGAGCTTGAGCGTTTTGTGAGGCAAGTAGATCCAATTGCACCTTTTCTTTTTGTCATTATGATGGAGGCCTTAGCAGCCAATTTACGAAGTAATAGACATACTAAACGTATCCAAGTTAGTTATATTCCAAAAGAGGCTATGCCGATCTGCTCATTATTTGCAGATGACCTTTCTTTGATGGTGGTAGTATTTCATGACAATGTAATAGCAATCAAAAGCCTGATGGATAAATTTTGCTCCCTCTCAGACATGAGGATCAATTGGGGGACAAAAACACAAGGTTGGTGGATACATCATCAGGGGGTGAGACCCCCAGAGCAACCACGCATCAACTGGTTGACATTATCAACCCCAATTAGAGCGTTAAGGATCTCACTGGCAGCAGTAGTGAAGTCCCCCCTACGTCGTACAGGGGGTTACCGTACAGCCAGTGTAGTCCCACGTACGTCGCACGGGGGGGCTGCGTACGGGCCGTACGGACGGACGGACAGACGAGCGTACGGCCGTACGGACAACGATTGTGCAAAACATATGGGGTTGTTGATCTTGAAAAGATCTACAACCCCATATTTTTATTTCTATTTTTTGGCCTTTAAAACAATTTTTTTACATCAAAAACAGAAAAAAAAAGAGCAAAAAAATAAAATAAAATCTGGTAGCCAAAGAAAATGGGCATTTGCCCCGCGTGCGTCAGTGTGTGTGTGTGTGTGTGTGTGTGTGTGTGTGTGTGTGTGTGTGTGTGTGTGCATGCGCGTTTGTTTCATGTGCGTGTCACATGAGTTTCGCACGAGCACGACACGTCATACCCACGCTGCTCCGACCAGACGCGTCGGCACACTGTGAGCAAGATACAAGATGCGGGGGGGCGATTTTTCAACGCAGCGGGGTAAACCCATTTGTGTGTCCATTTGCGGTGAGGGTAAAACAAAGGCCGTTTTAGCCAAAGGCAGCCAACTAAGCGAAGGTGGCGAAACGAAGCGAGGGGGGTGGGTGTGGCTCTTTCCTTGAGGAGCAATCAAACAAATGCAACCATTCCAAACTTCCGAATCAAATTAACATGCCTATACAATTCACACCGCAAATCCAAACAGGTCTCTGAAAAATACACATGCATCTGTAGAGTGCAACCATCAATCCATCCTGGTGAGATCGCCATCACAGATAAAACAAGGCATCATTTGGGAACCGGAAGAGGAAGAGCTGTCTCTTATACACATCTAGATGTGTATAAGAGACAGCACACACACACACACACACACACACACACACAGACAAAGAAGAAGGAAAAAAAAGGCCAGCTAAAGCGGAGCACGTGGCTTGTTGTCAGGTGTCATCCCCCGACTTCATTCTCTCGCACATCAAGCGTCATCAACGCATATGACGACGAAGAACAATAACAAAAAGAAAGAGGACGAACCAAGAACAAATGACACCTGACAGTGCTAGAACATTCGTAAGTACGTGTTCGAGCACAGTGCACGCTGAGCGTACAGATAGAGGGGCGGCACACTAGTCAACCAATTCGAAGGACAGATTAGTTAGCACATTCGCAGGTCTTTTTACTCGTCAGTTACTCAACCATTGCCATAGCATCTACTCCTTGGTTACCATATCTAGTCGCAAGTCACATCCTCATACATTGCATTTCATTCACACGACTTCGTGACAAAACTTCCATACTACCATCATACAAGTGTAGAGATCCCGCACAGGTAGACGATTTCACACAGGAGATACAAAAATAATAACTACTTTCGATACTCGTGAGATATATCGATGAAGCACACAAGTGATGATCAAGCAGCGTCCTGCTTTCTCATCCTGGCATAAACGCCCGACATGTTTCTACTGCTGCCAGTCACAGCGTCTTCAGGGGCTACTCGAAAGGTAAGATTAACCTACGCCTGTGTTGCCTTAAATACTTCAGGTCTACCGCTGTCTACCTCAACTACCCTGGTACAGTACTCCCGCCATCACGCGTTCAAAAATTTTCCTCGCGCTCTTTTTCGCAAAACAAAAAACAGTTCCGCGCCGGTATTCAGCCGCACCCAACATGCTTTCACACTATCCTGGTACGGTACCCCCATATTCAAAATTCAAAAAATAAAAAACGCAGACGAAAAAGAACACAGTTTCACGCCGATATTCAGTCGTGCTCACCACAAATTCAAACTTCCCTGGTACGGTACTCCCGTACTCAAAAAATTCAAAAAATCCGGAAATGAATTTCCACCACACTCTTCTTCAAAAAACATGAAAGAAAAAAGAAACATACTTCCACACCGTACACCTGTTCACCGTGCTTGTCTCTTCTGAGTCTCCGAAAAACGTGCTTCCCGCCTTTTCTTACTTTGGTCTCCCGTCTCAGGGTCACATAGGACTTGTACCCACTCTTCCCATGCTCCTTTCTTCAGATCAGAAAATCGTCGGAGTCTGGTATCGAAGTAATCGTTCGGAAACCCCCTCCTCCGTAATTCCATTTTCAGTGTAAGGAGGGTGGGTCCAGCTTCGATCTTGTTCAGCGTATGGTCCCAGATCTTGTGAAGGTACCCGGTAATAACAACTTTCTTAGTTTGCACCGTGGAATAAGACTCAAAGTCTTGTAATCCCTGAAAGACGATCGTTCCCCCCTTCAACAATTCATCTTCAGTAGTCGTTACAGCCATACATCGTACTGACGGAGGGAACATCTCAATACACAGTTCACAGCCCAAAAAAAAACAGGCTTTCATACCCCCGTCGGTTCTCTTCAATGTTAGCTTATCGTTGTAACAATGCTCAAATTTCTTCAAAATCTCCACAGCCTTGTGTAGGCTTTCTCTCTTGTCGATCTGGAAGGAGATAAACACCGAGACATCGTCGACCAGTCTACATCCTTGGATGAGACACCTGTCGACACCCAAAGCCGAGAGGAACGAGTTCTCGTAGTAAGCACATAGCAAGCATGCCAGAGCAGGGCTATTGCTCTTGCCCATGGGAATCCCCTTTGTTTGTTGCAGGATCTTTCCTGCTGCTACTATAAATGTATGCCCCAGATCAAATCTGATAAAACGAATCAACATGCGAAAAGGCACAGTCCTCCAGCCTACTTCGCCAGCAGCCTTGCCAAAAGTGGCACCCTTCCCTCTAAGTTTTACCCTTACATGATCGAGTCCCTTACCCTCATAGATCTCGACAACCCACTCGACTGCTCGAATTATGGCATCGTGCGGTAGTTTCGAGAATATGTTTTTGATATCGAAACTGGCCGCCATCATTCCCTTCTTCGCTGATCCCAATGTCCCACTCTTGTTGATTGTCTCGATGCGCCCAATCAACTGTTGCGTGCTCTTCAAGTTAAAATTTGTGTTCCTTGGCAGATTCCACAGCATATGGTCGATTGCCTTGCCCACGACTTTGCTCATCCTCCCGGCTGGGTCACTGTATGATGGGCAGATTGGCCTCCACCTTGTTGTGTCCTTGTGCTTAGGTATGATATATGCGCGGCCGAGACAACCCTTCACATCCCACTTCATTGTCTTAGTGTATCCTTCCTTAATGTACGTTTGTCTGCACTTCTCTATAATCGTGCTCTCATCCTCCGTCTGTCTGACAAAAGCTTGGTTCTCAACAAACATTTCTCGAATTGCATTGGCATAAATCACTGGGCAGCATGCCATTGTATCACCCATGTTATGGTCCAAAGGCATGATCACCAGTCCCTCTAACTGCCTCCGTACCATAACAGTCTGGTTGGTTGTCAGTCCCCCTTGTTCTTCTCGCACTACCCTGTAGCATGACTGCAGCTCTTCCCGTTGGAACAATCGGACCTGTCCATGGCCAAAGAATGCCTCCATTGCCTCATTCGCGCAGCGTGCCAAAGCTCTACCGTCGCGTCTACTTGGTATCGGCACATTCTTCAAGTTTCTGAGTCCACTCACCGTCTCGATTTTCTCGGAGAATCTAAATTTGACGTGCCCTTCTTCACTCTTTGGAAATTTGAGCTCGCTACAAGTGCATGTCATCAATTGCTCTTCTTTCCTTGCAAACCTCCGGTGGTTGCACATAATCTCCCCCACGGTCTTGTGTCTGACCCATACTACCCGCATTCTCCTGCACACAAATTCCGCCATCTTCTCGCTCGTACACGTCTGTCTGATTCTCCTTTTACAACTCTCCGACACCTTCCATTTGCTTAGTCCTACCTCATATTCTACTCTGACAATCACGCGGTTCCTTATACTGATCGCAAACCTTGATTTGATGGTTCTCGAGACTACTCCCCTCAGAATAGCCCGGGATCTTTTCTCCTTGAATTCCCTGATTCCATAGTACAGTCCGATCAGCTGATCTATCGTGAACTCCCGATTGTACAGCATCCTTCGGTACAGTGGTATGCGGAGCAAAGCGGTCAGAAAGTGTCGATCTCTATCATTTACGCTCTCCACCACTCTCACGACTGTGAATTTCCTCTCAGTCAGCATTTGTGTCTTAGCGTATCTTAGAAGAACCCTCCTTCCATCCACCTCTATCTCCGTCATTCCAAAACACCTCTTGATGACAGACCATCGTTTGCACCATTCAGTTCCTTGCATGACGGACAACTCAACCCTTTTCCGAGCATGGCCGATTGTTCGCAGAGTCTTCGTCAACAGAAAACTATTCCCCATTTCACCGCCCAATTCCACTGGAGTGGTTTCCTGACTTCCTGTGCCCTTCCTACTATTAGCGCGTCTTTCCCTTTTCCCTGGTCTATTCTTCTTCACTTTTTGTTTCCTCCCTTTACAATTCAAGATCGGACAGAAATTCCTGATATAAAACTTCTCCAAATTACCCAGCTCATCCTTTCTGGCGAGAATTATGGGCATGGCCACGTACTCCTGCCACCCTTTCTTCCGCAGCCATCTATAGACCTTGTGCTGTCTCCCTTCGTCCTTCATTGTTGCCATTCTCCTGTGTTCTTCCCGCCTCTCGTCCAGCGTCCTTGTCGTCATTCCGATATACGTGGCGCGAAAGCGTGGAGACACCAAAGCATACTCTCTCTCTCTCTCTCTCTCTCTCTCTCTCTCTCTCTCTCTCTCTCTCTCTCTCTCTCTCTCTNTGTGTGTGCACACAGGGGGGAGAGGTGACCCCCCCGCAGCCAATCAATCAATCAATCAATCAATCAATCAATCAATCAATCAATCAACCAATCAATTAATCAATCAATCACTCAATCAATCTCTTTTTTTAAATACCTTGTCCAAAAAAATCTTCTTTTTTTTTTTCGATGGGGCGGGGGTACCCCCCGACACCCGCACCCCGCCCCCCAGCCCCTCATCTCCCCCGGCCCCCCCCCCCCTCCTTCCCCCCCACGACGGCCATGTACGGAGGGGCCAAAGTTCATACAGATGGGCCATACGGGCCTTGGGGCGGCGTATGGACAGTCGTACGAAAATCCGTACGGCCCATCCCCGTATGTAAGGCGATGCTGGTCAGCAGAAGGTAAACCAATGGCTAACAATGATTGGATTTCTAAACCAGCATTAGCTAAAATGAAATTATGGAAAGATAAACAGTCCTCTGTTATAGGATGATCACTGGTCGTAAACAATGTCATACTAGCTTCACTATGGTACAGATCAGCAGTATGGGCATTGAACAACTTGTGCTTAAATCCCTACAAAGACAAATAACAGCCTACCTCTGAAGAGGTAACCATGACTGCAAAAACGTTATAAGTAGAGTGGCTTGGCAAGGGATAATCCAACCTAAGACCAAAGGGGGACTGGGAATATTAGATCCTTCCACTCAAGCTATGGCGCTCTATGTTCAATGGATCAAATGTCTACTCTTTAACCCACAAACCCCTTGGTTAGCCCTAGCCGAGGAACAGATTTCGTGACTAGCTTCAGAAGTCCGGAAAGGGACAGATCCAATGATTTCGTTGGAAAATCGTTACTGGTCACTCCCTCGAGGTAGAGTACGGTCCTCAAATCAGGTATCAGAGCCACATCAACAGGCCACGAGGAGGGATATTAAAAATGACTCTTTTTGGCCCGGTCTTCTCAAGACTTGGCAAAAACTACCACTTCCTGATAAAATTTCCCCTAATCATTGGGAAGAAGTTGATGAAAAACGGAATCCTTAGGGTTGGGGATACCTGGAACCCAAAAGTTCAGGACTGGTATGACCTTTTGCCTAGCCTGAGCTATTGTAGGAAAACAGCAGAGGCACTGGATACAATTATTCAATCTATTCCATTAGAGTGGGCCACGAGCCTTAGAAAAGGTCACCGGTTTAAGGAGAGTGATTGGGTTCCCATTCACGGGGACCTCCAGCAGGTAGGCAATGTGGTTGTCGTAAATGAAGATGGATCCATTCTCCTCTCCTTGTTTTGTCTTAGTCAAAATAATCGGCTAGTGGAAGTCACACCAAGGAAACCTGATGCGATCATGTGTTTAGGATTAGAATACTTAAATGCAAGGACCAATGGCTAGCCTTTAAACCATCATGTGCAATAAACAAACTAGCTTTCGGCCTGGTCTACTAGACATGGATGGTTCCACTAGGGAAACGAGGAAAAAGGCACTAGCTCCATGCACACCCTGACGGTTAAGTCAACGAATGGCATGTTGAGATGAAGACTAGACATGAGGGACAGAGTGGAAGCTAGATGGATGAAGCAACTAAATGTAAGCAAGGAGAAACTAAGACATGTCAGATGGCTCAAAACTATAAAGATTAAGCCAACAAAAATCGCCTCACTACAATGGCAGATCGACCATCGCTGCCTTTCCCCCACTAATGATTGACTCCTTGATAGGACCTCATTGGAGGAGAAAGACATCGCACTACCTTGTTGGAAGTTATGTTCCGCAGTTTTCCCTTCCAGGAACATTCCAGAGACCATTGAGCACATCTTTCTTCAATGTGCAGATGCGGTCTGGATGTGGCGACGGTGGGATAGGATCTGGAGTATCCTCAATACCTCGGTGACTTGGCCCTGGGATTGGAGGGCTCTTTTATGTGAGACCTGGTTTCTGGACCAATTAGATGCCTTCTCTCATAATTTATTTACTACCGGCTGAAGGGCCATCCTCTCGGCCCTTTGGCGACGTTGTTGTACCTTAGAAATGGAGGGAGCAAGGCTGGATGGTCCAGACTTTACAGAATCAATCAAGTTGCAAGTGCAGACAGTTATTACAGGTCAATGGAATAAAGTCAACGAAGAAATCCAATTTTTATCCTCCAAAGAAAGTTGTTCTGCAACACATACAAGAAGTCGGTGGCACTTGGCTAGGGGGGCCTCAAGGGGTTAAGTTAGGAAAGATCAAATGGTGTGGGGCCGGGAAAGAAGACGGGGATGAGTAGAGGGATGGATTCCAAAGAGACTGCCGCCTGATTTTTTATGATGGACAAATGTGGATCCTGCTGTACCCCTTCGGCCTCTATCAGACTTCCCTGACCCTTTCCCTCCCTCTTCCTTATGCTTGGTCCCTATGAGTTGGTATGGCAGCGTATAGGAAGAGCTGTTTTATTGTTCCTTTTCCAGCTGAAACTCAGTCTACTCTCTGCGATCTGCAATGTTTAGCTACTATGTCCTATGGTCTGAGCTGGTGCCCTGTGTATGGGTGAAGAGGTAGCATCAGTTGGCAAGAGCTAGATTAGACAAGGACAAGGCTCTTTACCAATGTCTGCTCTACAGATCCGGCACCCCACTTTTGTGTGAAGGGGTAGTTTGCACAGTCTCCATCTGCCTCCTTGGAGTAGGTATGTCTGGGGTAAAAGTGCAGGTTGCAGTCAAAATGGGTTGCTGGGAGTAAGCCAGTTCTGTTTTGTGGATCAGGCGCCCTTCAGCAAGGTGAAGAGGTAACTCAGGCAGGCCCCATTTCTTCACCTGCTCAGTGAGCCGCCCAGTCTCCCCTGGGGTAGTCAATGCTGGCAGGAAGATCTACAAGTTCTCCTATTGCAAAATCAATAGTGTATTTGAGGGGACGCTGGACCCGCTTTCCAGCAGGTGCAGCTCCCCACCAATAGAATGGAGCAACCAGAACCTTAGTAGGGGAGGCTGCTCTTATCACATCCCCTAGTAAAGTGGTTCAGGTAATTCTTAAAAAAAAAAAACAAGGGACTGGTGCCCCCCAGAATAAAAGGGCCTCACGTTGGGAAAAAAAAAGAAGATCCTGTGGCATCTATGCTACTCGGCAAATCATTCAACCTGCTGTGAGTACCCTCCAGTGTGCTACCTTTTTCACCCAGATAGAACGCCCGGTCATTCTTGCGGTATCTAGACTAAAAGCTGCACCAAGTACAGCTATAATGACCGGGCGTTCAATTCCCATGAAGACGGTAGCCTGAACCAATGTGCTACTGGTGAACGAACAGACTTCGTGTCGAATTGTCTGGCCGTTGTCCCTTGCAGGCAATCAGCCACAAGTGGTGGCAAGGGTGAAAAGGCAATTAATTGAGACCCAGGGGGACGAGAAGAGGAGGGGAGAAGGAAGGGATTGACAGGAGGAGGAGGAGCTGATAAGATGGATGAGGAGGATAGTAGAAGGTGGAGAGGTATAGATGATGGAGTAGAGGAGGAGAAGCAGAGGTGAAAGACAGGAGGAGAAGGTAGGAAGGAAGGAAAAGGAACCAAAAAGAGGATTTTTTTCTAAGGAAACGGAGGGGGTCTTAGCCCTTCTTTCTGCTGGAAACCAACAACAACCGCTCGTTTTTTCAAGGGGTATCTCCACCTCCTTTCCTCCTCCTCTCTCTACGCCTCCACATGTACTTCACCCTTCTGTACGTTGCTCCCCACTCCTTTGTGCACCTGCAAAGCGGTTTCTGCCCCCTATCTTCCACCCGTCCCCATCGCCTCGTCATCTTCATCCTCCGCTCTTCCTCCTCCCCATCCCATGGGCTTGGAGCAAACATCCATTTCCATCCGGATTCGAACTCGAGTCTGTGTTTCAACAGTTGATGAAATTTTCCAACTGAGCTATGCCAGTCGGTTGCAGCGAGCATCCATTTTCATCTGGATGCGGACTCGGGTCTGTGTTTCAACAATTCACCAGTGTTCCAACTGAGCTAGGCCAGTTGGTTGCAGCGAGCATGCAGTCGATCTCCTCGATCGCGAAAGAGCTTCAAGGACGAAGAGGAGGCCGCGCAGGAGTAAGAGGATGGAGGCGGCGTAGAGGATGGAGCTCACCCGCGCTGTGACCCGAGCTGCCGCGTCTCGCTTATCAAGTGAGCGGCTTCCTGACAACTACGGCGCCATAGGGGAGGGAACATGCGAGGAAGCACGAGAAGAGGGGATCATTTTTAACTTAGCGTGCTAGAGAGAGGGCATTGTTCAAACACCTCCGCCGTCGTCAGCGGATACCGCAAGGAAGGACCTTTTTTTCCTTTTCTGTTTGTTTTTTTTCCCTATCTACTCTGTTAATCACAGGATGAACGCCAGCCATCGGGTTTCCTGACGGTCCAATGGTTGGGCGATGCCCATGTGAGGGGTTCGTACCGCGGTTGGGCCATGCTCATTTCAATGCTTACTCCCTCGTCCAGCTATTCTCAGTGACTTGGACGACCTCGCGGCGTGCGGTGCCCCGTTTGTTTTCAAAGGAAAAAGGAGGGGGGTAGCTGTCTACCAACTGCTAGACTCAGTGCTAGAGTAGTTGTACCATTCAGCCGTATGTGCTGGGGTGGGGTGACTGGGGTTCTTTGCATGTACATGCTCAAGAACTCAGCTGTTTTACCCTGTGAGCTTTTTCATTTGGTCGACTACTCCGTCTCTACGATGGATCTCTGCCAGTGGTGTTGAATCGGCCAAACATCCCTGCGGCCAGGGACGCCTCCGCACACCATACTGACATTCCAAACGCTCGAGCCCAGCCCACAACTCCCAATCTAGGAGGAGTGATCCACCTACCGTCTTCCCTCGAATAGAATGTACGGTCATTATCGCGTTGTCTAGACTGCATGTCGCCCCAAATACAACTTTATAATGACCGTACGCTCTATTTGAAGGA